CGAACTGGGTAATCGTGGCATAACGTTAGTTACCCGGTTAATTACTAAAGATTATAAAGGGGGTCGGTAACTCATTGTTAACTAAACTAGAGTAAGTCTAAATGGAAGATTTTGGCTAGTTCCCCGCGAATTGTCGTTACATATCGACAGATACCAAACAACCCATTGAAGCGTCTGCTTCAATGTAAGATTAGAGGGTCTGACAGAGTTCAGACTGGCGCCATTGTCACTCATTGCTACAGTCTCTAACAGATCAAAGGTCTTTATACCAGTTGTGGGGTCAGTGTAATGAGTGTATTTCATTGAAGTCGCGGCAAATCAGTGTACTGGTTCCACAACTGGTAATAGTGTTTTGATAATTGATACCCTATCTTGATTTATTAATCTCCATTATTCAATGAATAAAGAAAACAACTTAAAGACTCATTCAGTGACAAAATTTCTGTCAAAATTGCTCTCTTTTTACTTCTTATAAGATAAACGGTTAACCGATTATCTCAAATCAGACCCAGTTACCCATGAAATACTACCCGAAATCGGTTAACTGATTAACAGTTTCAACACTAACTAGACATCTTGTCAAGAGATTAATGGCCTACATAATATCACCAAGACAACTTGTCAAGAGATAATTGGCCTACATATTGTCACCAAGACAACTTGTCAAGAGATAATTGGCCTACATATTGTCACTAAGACATCTTGTCAAGAGATAATGGCCTACATATTGTCACTAAGACATCTTGTCAAGAGATTAATGGCCTACATATTGTCACCAAGACAACTTGTCAAGAGATAATTGGCCTACATATTGTCACTAAGACAACTTGTCAAGAGTTTAATGGCCTACATATTGTCACCAAGACATCTTGTAAACAGATAATTGGCCTACATATTGTCACCAAGACAACATGTCAAGAGATAATTGGCCTACATATTGTCACCAAGACAACATGTCAAGAGATAATTGGCCTACATATTATCACACTGTATGACCATCATGAACAATTTCTTGCAAGATTGATTGTTTTACATCTGACAGCATTGCTATATCTTAAATTTTTCTAGACTCTTAAAGATGAAAGTGATGATGATGAAGATTATGAAGATGACAGCGAATGTGATGATGATGATGAAGATGATGATAGTGATGAATATGAAACGACTGAAGCCAGTACAGCTCAGACGCCTCATTTAACTAATGGTACATCTAAGAAGTAATCATTCAACCATGAATGTATTACACATATATCCGTCCTTCTTCCATGATAATCATAGCTTAAACATATACTTTTCACATATCATTGTTATCTGGCATCTTTTGTTGTCCAGGACATTCAATGAGCAATATTTATTTTAGTTTGTGTAGGAAAATTCGAATTATTGTTAATCCTTAGTCACAACAAATATTATTAACCCTTTGCACCCAGGAAAATATGATTTAGGCCCTGAAACCATGATATCCGTTAGCATTGTTGTACCACAAACATGGTTTAGAGACTTTATTATGTTGGTGACAGACCCATTTTCTTTGGAATCACCTGAATGGTTATGAAAATGACACTATAGCATCTCTATCAAAATCTCGTCTTAATATCAATTAAAGTAATGTGATTAAATTAGGTTAATTACAGCCAAAATATTGGAAGAAAAGATGTGCTGTCAATCGCATTTAAATACTTAACAAGAATGGTAAATATCTGTGATCAGTTCAAAGGAGTAGTTATAGACATTATTCATATAAATCATACTGTGAGACTTATTATTGTTAACCTTTTCTTTTTAAGTGACCTTAATCAATTGTACGAAAGTTACTGTCTTATTTATTGATATTGTTTTATAATAGTGCTGTATAATGTTGTACCAATTTGAGAATACATGTATTTTTTTCAAAGGCTTTGGAATCTTTACTTACTTAAATATAGTTTAAAGTAAATGCCTTTCAGTGAAAAGTATAGGCATTTAATAGTAATTATTTTTTGAAAATGTATTGACTTCTTTTTAAAGCTATTTTAAAGTAAAACTTCAGTTGTATTTATCATTTTTAACAGATGTTCAAAATTTTTAATTATCTTGGATTTGTCTGAATTTTAGTGCTATTATTTTATTTTTAATGTTTTAGTTATAAATTTAAATACAAGCTGAATTAAATGCCATTTAAATTACAGCTAAATGAAATGAAGATTTTGATTTAACTTGATATAAATTTCTTTACAATTTTACTTAAGAATTCAAAAACCTTATCCAAAATGAAAAAAAAAAAAAATATTTAACATAATTACAGCCGTATTCTATTTAAGAATGTTTTGGTTTTTATTAATGATATTGTTCTTGTGATTTAGTTTTCATGACATTTTATCATCTTTCTAGTATGTTATAATGAATTGTATATAGAAATAAGATAAATATAGAATGTTATACTGTTAATTGATGTCTGTTGTCTTCACTAAGTTAACTTCCCAAATGAATTTATCTGAATAATTGATGGCACCTTCAATAATCACAATTATGTCTGTGCATTTATTTCCTCTGGCTGCTTCTGTTAACATCTTAGATAAAACAATGAGTTTCAGTTACTTCTTTTGCTAGAATCTTTCTGTGGTCAGTTGTCTCCTTTTATAAAACACTTGACATAGATCAACTGAAGACAAAGCAAAATAGAACTTACTGTTAAATAAAGCAGGTCTGATGATCAACATTTGGATTTTTACTTTGAAAAGATGACATTTTTTTGACTAATAATTTTTAATATAAAAGATAAATATATCATACATATAAATTAATAAATAATGTTAACTACAAATGATATTGATTGAGATGAGAAACAGACATGAACAGTAGATCAAAATATGAAATATATAAGTGTAGTTGGAAATATGTATTCATTAACACAATATAACCCTAGTTTTGTTTTATGAGTGGTACACTCGGGCAGAGATATTTTTTGCATTTTCAGAATAATTCAAAACAAGTAGACAATTTTGCTTTACGTTTGATTTTATAGTTTCAATAACTCAATTCAATATAGCTACTACCTTAGATTAAAGATGACTACTAAAAACATTTCAAATAACTCCATTAGAAAATTTTAATTTTGCATTTTAAACACAAGAGGTAACATTTAGACCTGCATTTCAATAAAATTATTAAAATCACATATAAAGATATATCACAGTATAAAACAACATTCAACAACTTGCTGTAGAGGTAAAAATATTCATTTTTACTTGGACATCTATATAGATATATTTCACATATAGCCTACAGTTTATGACCCGTAAGTCCTATTCCTATAATACAGATTAGACAAACAGTTTTAATACAAATGCCAAAAGCGAGAGTGCTCATCTCACATTCCTTAAAAGAAACCTTAAAACCCAGTAAAAGAGGCAGGATTTGGGTTAGAGTATCAAGAAATTTAAAATAATGCAATTGGCCATGATTTTGTTCACTTTGTAGTGAAAGTAAATGACGATTTCGACACAGTTATATTTTCCCCTCTCTGAGTCACATCATGCAAAAAGATTTTACTAAGTCCAACCCTTTCATCAGCATTAATGAAAAAAGGTTGATAAGATGAGGTCAAATAGTCTTAAAACCTTAAAAAAATGGTGGTCACAAATAAGCATAACAATATTAATATAGAAACTAATAATACTAAAGAGGGCAGTAGATTTATTTTATTTCCTTAATCTTGCTCTGCTATAATCTTCCTCTTCACTTTCAACATCATCATCATCATCATCATCATCTTCAATCGTTCCATACATATTAGACTGTAATCAAATCAACAATCATAAGATTTCAACTAAGTCAATTCTTGCGCTGCCTTCATATATCATACTATAAACAAAAGTATGTATTAAAAAAACCCAGATTGTTTCGTTCCATAAGCAGCAAATATATCTGCATCTGTTGCTATTCATTACATATTACTAGACTAGAATGTTTCCATTGGAGTATTACTTCAAAACTACATTCACATATTTATTGCCCCCCCCACTTTGAGTAGGCCTGTATTACTTTACTATAAGCTTTCTGTTATTCTACTGGCAAAGGGCTATAAAAAATATCTGAATTGGTTTCTTTACATTATAATCATAACAACATTTAGCACCTCACACTGAAGACTACTTCAAAGATCTCACGAGATAGAAATATATTTATACATAGAAAGCACCTACAATTTTACAATTTGGATTTAGTGCAGTTTTCTTCATTGTGCTGACTAGTTTATATTTTAACTTACCTAGAAAATCTCAATATGACTAATGTAAAAAATGAAAATATTCATAACTGAGGCTTAATGACTGACTGGTATTCAGATGACACAATCGGAAGACTTTTTGCAGCATTTATAAAAATATTAAAGGCATATAAATAAACTAAAGTTTGAAAGTTATGTGTGTGCTGGCATTTAAAACATTTTACATATACAGAGAAACTAAAAATGTTTCCAAATTTGTCAATAATACTTACATTATAGTTGCGTATTTGACGTCTATCTTCTGATAATGTTGAACCCATAGATCTGTTGGTATCGCCCAATGTGCTATTATAACCTCCAGTATTAGAGATTAATGAGTCACCTTGTCTAGTAAACCCACCAGTAGCCATCAACCTGGTTCTGAATTCCTAGCAATGTAAATTACATATTTCATGAGTTTCACAGAGAACAATCAATAATAGTTTTGTTGGCAGTCTTTGAATTTAAAAGTCTTTGTCAAAAACTAAGCCATAATGCAAAATACATATCATCTTAAGAAAACTGTGTAACACTTAATAGCATTGAAAATATAAATGTGCATGCTTTGTAAATTTCACTCTGACATGCAGAGAACTACTATGTAGCTTTATTTGATCTTGTTTGAAAATAACATTTCAGAAGGTCTTTTTACCTCCAAATCAACATGCTCATCTATAGAAGCTACATTCTCAGCACATTTAGCATAAAATTCTAGAGCACGGGCATGGAATGCCATTTCAACACTTACAAAATCTGCAAGAACAGTCTGAAAAATTACAGAAAAAATACATCATGAAATTGTCACCTTTTTGAGCTAATAAACACAAACCATACTGTACAGTGTGCAATGAGGTAAATTTTGCAAGAACATAAGCAGGAGCAAACTTTTCTGAATATCTTAAATTCATTGGATCTTTTCCGAGATTTGATTCATGAAGTTAGACACTTGCTGGCTAATGTTTGGACCCAGATTTCATTGTCTCATTTACATAAATATATTTCTTTTTTTGAGTTTAAAGTCATTTAATAATAGGATTATCTTCTTAATTTTTCTACACTGGTAAATACTATGACCATCATATAGGTATACCTTTAAGTCTACTATTTTTTCTTTTTCGAATTTGGCCATTTCACCTTCTAATGCTTGACTGTAATGTACTGCATCTTTTGAAGCTCTTTGAAGTTCACTTTCAGCCTACAAAAATATCATCAAGTTCCATAAACTCCATTGAAAACTAAAAATTTCATTTTATCATATTATCCTCATAGAATTTTCCATTTTAATAGCAATAATTTATATATAGATTACGGTATATTAGGAATTGTTTCTTCCATATCATATTACAATATTGTGATATAGAAAATTCTTATATTACAATATTTGTTTGTAAATTATTGTTCTAGTATTATCATTATGCTAGCAAAATTAATGTATCAGATAAAAAAGTTTTTACTATGACTATTGATTAATGTGACTTTAAAAGAGAACAGGTGCCTTCAGGTTTAAAATTTGTTAATCTGTTGGAAACACTGACAATAACTACCAATTGTAGAATAGAGTTCACATTTATAAGTCATTTGGGCAAAAAAAATGCAAATGTGCAATGATTAAGTCCTGAATAAAAAAAGACAATTACAATCATTGATTTATCACCATTAAATAACTAGACTAGGACTAAATTTAAGAAGGTGTAAGATAAGTATAATTCTATAAGTATGAACCTTAAAAATATTAGTTATAAGTATTTTAAATACTACAATTATAAAAATATACCATTCAGATTAAAATACAATACCCTTCTTAACAATCGTACCTGTGTCTGAGTAAAAAAATATATATATGTAAATTTTGAACATATGATATATTAAGAATACTGTTACACTTACTAGTAAAAAGTTAGTGCATATTTCTATCTAGGCCATGATGTACGGAAGCATATTAGGGCCATTCATTTTTTTTTTTTTTTTTAATTTTCAAGTTAGTATGTGAA